CAATACATACGTACGATCGGTCTACAGAAGTTTTCAAGGGCGTTATCATTGAGAGGCTACAATAGATGAGATTACTGATAAGCCTTTTTACTTGTGATTGAGCTATTCAAATGACTACTGGACATTGTGCAGACTATTGCGACGATACTGTATTTTGAGGTAATATGTATTGAAGGAAGAAATCTTCTAGAGCGGGGACTTTCTTCACTCGACCCCGATTGACGTTAATGGTAATTGTTGTAAACTGGATAATAAGAGCACTAGTAACACTGGCCGTAACCTCTGAAAATGTTAATGAAGCTTCGGCAGTTTAGTGGTTTCAGTACTTTAGAGAAATATTTGCGATAAAGATGATGACCTTGAATCAGTAGTTTGGGGGAATCGTAGAGATCGATGAAACAGTTAGAAATGCAAATTCAACAGAGAAAGAAGTGCTAGAGAAGACTAGGTACGTAGTACTTCCTCAAATACACTTAGGTCATCACACAAAGGGACATTCCCAGCAGGTTAGAAACCGACAGGCTAAAACGGTAATACAAGCTATACGGGAGTATGTGCAACCGACTAACACAATACACACGGACGACTGAAGGGCATATATGTAGTTTCGTCGTTCACATGAAACATCTTGTAGACTCCACCACGGAAGTACACACCAGCAATATAGAAGCAATGTGGCCGAGACTAAAAGAATTCTTGTGACCTTATCACGACTTTAGAGGCAGGTTTTTGTGAAGTCCCATATATGAGTTCCTTTACCATATACATCACGATTTCAGAACCGTAGAACCTCTTTCTAACCTGGAAAAGTTTTTAAATCATGCTAGGGTAGTGTATCTAGTTTAAATTTCCGGCTTTGTTTAGTATATTCTTACTCTATATCAACTGTTTTTTGATAGCCTGAAATTCCTAAGTCACTGAGATTCGTTCAAATGTCGTCCATGAATTAAAGTGTCGCCCGTTAGTTGAGTAGGATTACTTTAATACACTTTGAGCTCCATTATATAACTCGGTCTATTATTTAAGCGTTCCGCATTTTTTTAACCACTTCATTTATTCCACTAGTTGTATCTGGGACACAATTCTCATTGACTCACACATCCTGTGTCGTTTTCTCACACCTGAAGTAGAAAGCTGACTTTCATTCTCTGAAAGGTTTTTTCTCGCCCTCCTCAATCTCAGGGTAATCTCGAAAAGTATTCGTTCTAATTCGTCAGCTCAATCTAGTTGACTATCATCTTTTTTAGACTGAATCAGACTTAGACAAAGACCTTATTCATCTGTTGGGGAACATGAATTTACTAATCTCATTCTCCTGCATTTCTTTTCGCATTCATACACATTTAGATCTTTATAAATCCTTTCTAAATCATTTTTCCTTTACAGCCTAAAGCACTTGAATTGGCTGCACGTAAGGTAGCTGCTGTTTCTGGTGATGTGCGACGCGCTCTTGATATCTGCAAAAGAGCTGCTGAAATTGTTTCATCTATTGGAAAAGGCAATAAAGAAATAGATATTTCGCATATCAATGCCGCTTTAAAAGAGATGTTCACTACACCGAAATCAGAAGCTATATGTGCTTGTTCATTATATGAGAAATTGTTTCTTCGTGCTGTTATAGCTGAATTTCAGACGCGTTCAACAGAAGAAGCTCGATTAGACCGGTGTATTCGTCAAATGTTTGCACTTTGTCGACTTGAAGGTTAGTGAATTTCTTGTAACCACTTCTGGTATCGCTAACAAAAGTCAACACATTTACATTATATGAGTAGTTACAGCCCACTCTTACGCTAATTTTATTCACCGATTTTGTAAAATTTATTTTTCCTCATTTGTCTATCAATTATAATTAGAGTTCGCATTCGTCAGTGAATTCTTTCTGTGAATATTCCCATCAAAATCCCTCACCTTTCCATTACGATCTTAGTTCTAGTATAGGAGATATATGTGAAATAATCACTATTTGTATTAGGATACAATTAGGTGCACCATTGATTTTAGTTTGACCTTCCCGTATCATATAATTTATATGGCAACTTTCAGACTTTTTGGTGGTAGAAAATTAACTACTGGCCTTTTTCGGTCATCAGTGACAAATACAAGTTTATGCTGAGTAATATTGTCACAATAAGTTAATTGTTCAATAAGAGCATTATTAAGTCAAGGACTTTCATTTATATCAAGCTTTTTGGTCCTTTTCAGGTGTTCCATGTCCAACTACATCAGAAGTATTTGCTATTTGTGCTAGTCTTGGAGCTCATAAGCTATTGTTAACTGAAAGATCGCGATGCGATATTTCAATGCTTGTCCGTCTCAATTGTACAAAGTCGGATATATTATACTGTTTAAATCAACAACCTGACCTATAAATCTAAAATATACTGGACGAATTACTCTAAACTTAGAAAGAGATGTTTTAATGGACGATTATCCAACCAATCATCTGTACGTCCGAGATTATATTTGTATTTTTCATTTCAAAAACGATATACTGATGTCCATGCATTTCAGTAAATTTGTCGGTATTATATTTAATTGATTCTAGTCCGTTTTTATAACTTTACTATGGATAAAAACCAAGAATTTTTACTTGTTTTTTATTAATCAATGCAGTTAATAATCTAGATTAGAACTAGTTTAGCATATTTCTATTATAACTATTAAATAAGCTTTAATTAACTCTCCCATTTCTCGATAATCCCACATATTTCTATATTCTTTTCTTAAATCTACTCAAATCATTTTTTACTGACAAATTTTTTAGTTGCAATATGTTATTGTCTTAGGCCAGCTTTAACCGAACGAAAGTGACTATAAATTTAAATTCATCTTCCTAATGAATAGATGATCGTTTTCATGTTTCTTCTTAAAAATGTTTGCTTGGAGTCATTCTACAACAGTATCATAGCTAAGTTGTCATCTAAAGAACGCTATCTCATTTAAATCTGATAAAACAAACGTTAATTAAAAAGTGTGAAAATGAAATTCACTTCTGTATAATTGAGAACCATTTTCGATGTAATACGATAGTTGGCGCATTGAAAAAGGTACTACGTTGTTACTGCGTTTTTCACTAATCCGTCACCATTATAATTCCACTAGATTTATAGTTAGACTAAACGCCACGGTTGCAGATATTGCATTTATTAGTGAGAAGCAGTGACCAGTGGAGTTCAACCGGGTCTGTTGTGAGATAGTAAGTCACTGAAGACAATGGTGGGCGGTGGCGCAATTTCGTAGATTGGTTGAAGTTAGACATTAACACCGCTAGATGGCGGCTCAGTGATCTAAAGGTTAAGTGTTCGCGTGCGAGATTGATAGGTCTTGGGTTCGAATCTCACGGGACGGGATCGTGGATGTGCACTGCTGAGGAGTCCCATACTAAGATGAATTAGCCGTAAAGTGCTTCCAGGTTTTCCATGGCGGTGTAGCTTCAATTAACTCATGAATTCAGTTATTAAAGCTAATTATATCATGTATGAGTAAGCCTAGTGGCTCTCACCGACAATCAGATATATCTACGGGAAGCGTACGTCCCACCACGGCTTCATCACGCACATAAAATAACCACATTGCTGATACGTTAGATCAGTCAGACTTAGATCAAAAGATAACTACACACTATTGACCAGAATTCGACTCCATTGCTTAAGGGAGGACACGCAAGTGATTAAAGATATGAGTCTCTTTTCTAAGGGACAAAGCTGTGTGAACGGATGATTGTACATATATTTATAGGTTCGGTTTAACCAGTAAACCTTCATAACTAAGTCTTGAATAGATTAATAAAATGTAATATAGTAAAATATAAAGTTAGGATCATATTCTTCGTATAAAGTGCCTTCACTAAGACAGATTATTTGACCCAAAAAGTACAAAAAATAATATTGATAGCTTCACGTGTTTGGGATTTAGAAACTATTAAAGAAGCCTTGGAATAAGTTGTGATACAGAGTAGTTGCAGCATTATTTTCAAGAAATATTTGCTATTACTAGGAATAACAGGATCGCCAAATTACACGGTGTCGCTATAATCAAAAGGTATATACTTCAACTAATCTCTCAAGTATTGGCATAATTGTAAGGACATGCTTCACACTTATCAGTGAAAAGAAATGTCAAACGATCGTCATATTAGTTCATAAACAACTTTTAAACAAAGAAAATAGTATTCTTATATATTTCATGCACTGTTTCGAAGCCATGGATAGTTCCGCCTGCGCTACTTATCGCTTGTCAATAAATTACTCATTCAATATTCTCTGACTGCTAGTGGGTCATTGAAAAAGACTTAAATATATTTTGCTAGTAAGAACTACAACTACTTGCATCAAGAACTTTGTGGTATTTTATTGTTTAGAAATTTAGAGATGCTAGAAAAACAATGAGATACACTAATTTGTTGTAGTTCATTCAAATATGAGAAGTGATTCTCGTAAACTTAAAAATATGTCGGCTATGGATCGTATCTTCGATGCCTAATTTTTTCTATTATGACATACTGTTACTACCTCTGTTACTCTGGAATTTGCCCTGGCAATTTCATTTCGCTGTGCTAATGTGGTGTTGCAACTTGAACCAATGTACACACGCACCTGGTTCTGTGTTTCGTGCAACTAAATGACTGGAATCAACTTTGCACAAATAATTCATCCCTTCATAAATCTAATGAATCTTTATCTAAAATGATAAAATATATCTCCTTGCCTAATGAATTAAATTAGATTTTGCTTTTTATATTTGCCTATACCATTATTCTCTTTACAAAATGTAAACTTAACATCTTTAAGTCATATTTGTCAATCAAATATGCATCTTATACACAAAAATACTTCTAATTAAGTATATATGTATATTGAAGGGATCGAGAACGATAAAAAAACTTTTGTTTCTGTAGATTCATCAAATGAAAATCATGATAGGGTTTGTGTTATTATTAGTAATCAATAATAGAGATAAATTGATGAGGTTGAGCAAGAAATTATAGTTACTAAATACTTTCATGTATTATAATCTGAAAACTCTTTATCATTATCAATGGGTAGACGAATGAATGGTTCATTGGTTTCTTTACGATTCATCACAACTACAATTGAACAGAGTAAAATCATAAATGAAACGCATATAATTGAAATAAATAAAATAAATCTTAAATCAAATATGATCCATTTCCATAAATATGACCAACTATTCGAATTCAAAAGGCGATTGGCAACATCAGGTTTCAGTATGCTTGAAATACGTTCTAGGCTGCCATTGTTTGGATTTGGTTGAATATTTAATAATGCACACATTAGTGGATAAACGTCTACAGCATGGACATTAGGAACGCTCTCAGCAATCTTGAAAGAAGGACCACTTGCAATGAAGAATGGATACATTTCAGAGAAATCTGTTGCATAACCATGATCACCAGCTAATAGACAGAGAAAAATAGAAAAAAAGTTATGATCAATAAAAGTAGAGTTTTTTTGTTTACTACTCAACATTATTGATAGCGTGAAACAAATGAAAATATCCGAATTAACTTACAAACATTAGCGTAAGGATGTGAAGTGTTCTTTACAATTTTCCAACTTGGCTTAGCAATAAGTATCAATGGAGGCATACGAGAGTTCGTTATATTGAAATTCAGATAGGTAGGAACTTCATCTCTTCGATACACATCTAATTTTGGATGCGCATTTTTTAGACGTTTGTACACTTCTTCAAATTTCCCTAATTATAAGAAAATGATGAGTAAAAATATGTAAATGTTACATTTTTACTTTTATTCTTATTAAATATATGTTACCGACTTCTCTCTGAATGAATACTGGTAAGTTTGTCAAGATTTGACATTAAAACAATTGATTGAACATAACTATAATCCTAAGAACATTCCTCATAAAGTACGAATTGTACAACGAGCATCACACGTAATGTAGTAAACTGAAATTTCCCATCAGTGCTTATTTCTAACATGAAGTTATGTATAAATGATGAGAGGAGGGTTTCGAAAAAGTTAAAACATCAGGTAACCATAATGAGTAAAAGATAATTAGTGTATTTCATAATGCATAATTGTAGTTGACGATGAATGAATGTAAAATCGGTGAGATACGTTTTACACATTTGTCACAGATTTGTAAGGAACTTAATCTTTCAGTGAGACTCGAGCACGACACTGATAGTTAGACACCAGACAGTTATTAATTAGGTTGGTTTACTATAACAAACAATGTTCATTAGTTATTAAATTATATTGAGTTTTATGGGGTTAGATTTGTTAAGTTGGAAAAAATCAGATGAAATCGAAGCGAGATAACAATCAGTTGATCGATTACAGAAAATGCACTGCTAGTGAGGATCAAGACAAATTTCCTTGAAAGTTTGTAAATCCTTCGTGTTTGAATCAGATCTAAGAATCTAGAGTGAACTCAGTGCAAACCAACAGTTCCTGAGTTTGATCCCATACGAACTGTTTACAGTGTCGTTCGATTTATAAAACGGGATGAAACAGTAGCTGAATGAGTCCTGATTTTTAATGGGTATGAGATAATTCCGCACTGAAGAAAATATCGGAAAGAAAAGTTTATTACAGTGCGTGAAGTTTTTTTCCGATAATGAAGGACTGAATACTTACCAGGTGCAGGATAAAGGAATCCCATGGTTGATAATTGAGTATAATTGTACAAAGAATCATCAATATATTTGTCCAACGGAATAAGACGAGTATTTGATGTTTCAGACATACCATGATCAGCAGTTAGAATAATATCTACTTTATCAGAAAGACCACGTTTTTTGATACCGTCTAATAGATGACCAAGTGTTTCATCTAAGGTTTGAACAACTTTCGCAACATGTTTACTATTAGGACCGTATGAATGACCAGTTTCATCAGGTTCTTCAAAATAAGCTAAAATTAAATTTAAATGATATCTAGGATTTTTTAGCCACCACAGTATATCTCTGATTCGTTGATCATACGCATAACGGTGTTCATAGTCATTAAGTAAAGCATATTGTGAAACTCGTTGAAATGGTAAATCATCGCTAACAAACTGATCAGTTAAAGGCCATAAAAGTGAACCAGTATAGCCACCATTTTTTTGCAATGTAACCCATATAGGTTCAGGCCAATCAGTTAACCACGGAGCATGATTTAGGCTTTCCTGATCATATATACTGAAAATTTTATTTGGCCATTTCTTATCCAGTAGACTATTCCCAACAACTCCATGATTTTCAGGATACAAACCGGTAATTAATGTACGATGATTAGGTAGAGTAATTGTAGGATAAACATTGATCGATTCCATAGCTCGTACACCCTCCGATATTAGACGATCGAAATTCGGTAATGCATTAGAGCCCAGATGAGTTTTAGTCAATTCTATATAATCATGACGAAATCCATCCATACTAATTAGTAAGACAGTTTTGTCGTGATTAAAAAATCTTGATAATGGTCCTTTTATATTCCATCGATATAAATTGATTTCTTGTGGTATCAAAATCACGAGAATAAGGGCACCGAATAGCATCATTACAATGCCTGATATAATTAATGTGAAGTAAGCACAATGAGTTCTACGTTTGTAACGACGAATACATTCGTGATTTATTTGATAGTATGGAGGAGGTAAGTCACTGTCATTTTGTATTATTTGTTCTGTTGACATATTTACTGTAATTAGACGAAATAAAAGAGGAAAATTACAATTTTAATGTCTTTCATATTAAACAAATAAAATATTAAAAAGGAAAGGATACATAACCTGGATCAACCTGTAAGAAAGTCTAACAGTTGGTATTTCTATTTGGCCAGAGAGAGGTCATAAATGGATTAGTAAATATTCAGTTAATTATGTTAATGGAAAGTAGTTTTTTTATTCTACTTGTGAATATTGGAGGCGCGAACAAGTGAACAAAGGTTTTTCCAATTACAGAATACCTTGATTGCATCAAGTACAAACGATTATTTTTAAATATATCATAGAATTGGTAGCTTCTTGATGCTTATACCGATAGAAGCCCCAGCTATCAAAGATCCGTGAGAATGGAAGCAAATCAAGTTTAACAAGGCTTTCAGAACACACAACAAACATAAGATATTAAGTAATGATGGAACTGAGAAATGTAGACTACCATCGTGTTGAACAATCACACAGAAGTCATAATAAAATAACCCGCAAGGAATACGTGATAATAACATCGCCACTATTTCCTAGATGTTCAAGAACCGCCATATACATTTCAAACTAAGTGGTAACATAACTCGGCATTACAAGTACCTCAAATGTACATGAAAAACTATTTGCTACAGAAACATGTACCGTAAAATAAAGTACGTTACTGCCCATTACTATTAGGTTAATTATAGTAACCACTGTCTTGAAACACACATAAAGATTATTGATAATAATATATCTATAAATCAAATGTGTGTGTTCTTATTCCTACGAAGGATATACACAGGCAAAATCTCAAATCATTTATCAAAGTTGAAGAGAAAAATAAACCAAAAACTTGAAATAGATTAAAATAACAAGTTTTCACTAACAACTATAGATTAACAAATATGATCATTTGGACAAGTGACAATAGTATAGATGTTAGAAAAGTCTGTAATACAATAACTTCCTTGAAACAGTGTAGTACCTAAGATAAACTACAAACTAGCTTATTCTCTTAATCCCCAGAGGACAGGTATTATAATAAATATTATTCGCCAGAGAATAATACTATTAGATTCCCTGTCCTTGGTAGTAGCAAATATCTGATGTATGGGTCACAAATTAACTCAACTTCTGCTTTAATGTGTGTCTTGTAACAATATTTATTATAAAACAGGCACTAGTACAAATGAGTTTCAGGTCTTCAGACTCAACTTACTAACATTTGAATTAAAATTGGGAAGACAATATACGGTACTAAAACGAGATATGGTAGTCCTGCACCAATTTATTTATAAAAATGTGGTTTGGGTTAGCTCATAGTACTTTATTGTGCTAAGCAAGTAGGTAGAAGAGTGATAAAACCATAATAATAGAATTTAGATGAGGGAGAAGAGTTTCGCTAACAAATGGACCCGGGCAAGACTAGATAATGAGAAGAAATTAGCCAATGGATTTGTAGACTATCAACAATTAAGGATGGGATACATGCTATGGGTACAACGCTACTAACCTGTAAATTGTACTATTCTGTTTATCAAGTAACGTAGTAAGCTTCCAAAACGCTAACGGCAAGTCTATTTATCCACTAGCGGTACAAGTTTTGCTGCTAGGTCCATGGCCTCCCATCACAGTTTAGAAGAAAACTCTGATAAATAACTAAAGACTTCAAGTCATACAGTTTGAGATCGAAGACAGTGACGAAAATGAATTCAGTTCATTTCTTGACATTAATACTGTTCCTCAGTTATTTCATTTTTACTGTATACATTCTCGTATCTTTGTTTTTAATTATTCTGCTTAAATGAGTGGTATCATGAATTGATTAAAATTTGAAGTTCTAACTGAAAAAATGAGTTATAATTGTTAGAAGACTAACTTACCTATTGGTTCACCTCCAAAATGGTAAATTGTGAATGATTGTACCTTAACTGAGTCACAGAATGAAATGAAGCAGTTGCACATATTTTACTGACCTCTAGTCTATGTCTTTATTCACACAACTGATTGAGGTGAATATAACTTTCGATGGTTCTTTACAATATATCATGAATTTCTAGATTTTACAAATATACCTTAACTTATTCTTTTCATAATTACGACACATGAGACAGATACATATTTAACAACTCCTTTAGAATTACACTGTACTACAATCAGCACATAGTTAATGAAACTCTCATTCTTTAGTTAAAAGAAAATGCAACAACCAAACGTATGATACGTATACACAATAGTAAGCCACCATAGTATGCAATGATGAATGAATTAATAAATGCAATAATAGTAGTATTTCATTTAGATTCAGTAAATGTACTCTTACAACAAAAGTATGTGTATTTCTGTACAAAGACTATTCATCTTAATTATTCACTGGGGTAATATAAATTCATCTTCGACTAAGAGTATTGTTTTACTGATAATGTTCGGAATAATACTGGGGGGGGGTAGGAGGAGGCAACAGACAAAGTACATACCATTTCTTGGTTGTTTTGAACGTATACAATGTAAGCAATATTAAAGCTAGTGCAACATTCTTTTTGAAAAAAGAAATTGTCAGTACGGTAAGTGAACGAATACATATCAATGAAAACATTCTCAACAATAACATGATACATACAAACACAAACAGAATGATGAATAATTAACCACATTAGTAGTGCAAAGAGATTTGTCGTTAATGTCAATTAAAGATTGCAGTGATACAGATTCTCAATTAGTATTGAAAACAAATAATCAATTAAATATATTTTATTTGAGTGGTGTAACAGAATATATGAGTAAAGAGAAAAAACAGATCAATACAGTTTCAGGTAATCCCGTTCATGTAAGCTAAAGGTATTTTCATTGACTATAGCCATGTAATTTAGACACTGGTGATGGAGCACGTCGGAAGAATAAAGATGATCCTCTAACAAAAGCGTCCTGTAAAGTAAAAATGTTAATTTATTAAAGTCTTTACTTATGCATACACTAAGTATTTTTCAGAAAATATGGTTGAAGTATAGTCCAGAGGAGCACGTACAAATTTATATAATTTATAATTTCTCAAAAAAGCAATTTAAAGATGTTAAGCGAATCATTTAATGTCTTATTTGATCAAGTAAATAAATATTCTAGAAAATATTATTTATCAAAAGTAACTAAAATGTATGTGACTATGATCTGCTTTAATATTAATACTATTAAACAGGAAAACTTCCTTGTATTCATAAACAATACTCCCACCACGAGGAGGCAGTGAGTAAGACTTCCTTGAGAGTGGCTGTATATGCGTGGTCATGTGAGAGCATTTGGAGAGCGGATTCTCCCCACCCTCGACCGTACGAGGGTATTTTGGGGCAGGTAACCAGATAGTATCACTAGCCCTTACAACTAGAGTGTAACTCATACCCAAGTACGTGGTGAATGAGTTCATTAAAATCAATAAGCCAGTGAGTTAATAGTACACCTGAATCTATGTCTAACCTGGTTTAACGAAGATGTTAAACAATAATGATATAAGATCGATATACTTCAATAAGATCGAATGGAGTTATTTACTACAGTATATCACACTAATTATGAGATTGATATTATTGTAATTACTGAAGCATTACAAGGTATAGTAACTCGTAACAGGCTTAAAACGATACATTTAACTGTGTCAAGCAAAAGCTGAAGAAGGATACTCTCAGTGAATGAAGTGACTGGCAACACTGTTATCAATGATGATTATATTAAAAATAGAAAGATTAATTATAAACGGTTTTATGGGGTTGGTCAGCTGAGAATGTAAAGCTCTATGTGTACGTAGTTTTGTTGAAGATGATTAAATTGCTAAAAATATTCTGACATTCACGCTTTTCGTTTTTATTTTGTAAATTTAAATTTGTGCTTTTACCCTCCTAAATTTTATACGTTAAGTACCAGCTATTTATACTGGGGTTAAATCCTTGTTTTCTCTACTGGTTGATTGTTCTTGTAATATGTTAGTTTATTGCTATACTTTAGGAGCATTTTTAAAGTAATTACACATAATTGCTATTCGCTTGCATCAACCTTCTTCGAACCTTCTGAGTAAGATATGTTGTTCGCATTAGAGGTGGCTAGGAAGATCATAAAAAGTTGTTGGGCTGTAACCAATCTTGGTAGATTGTGAAGATATCTTTTCCCACATTGGTTTCTCCGCGTTGTGATGCGATCATTCAAGCCAATAGTACATAAATGACTCTTAATGAAAACTCAGTCGATTAGTAATGCCTCCGCTTTGGCGTTTGATCTGACACCAGACACCTACTACACAGGGTCCCTGAAATAAGTGCAGGTGCAGTAGATTTTCAAAATTCGGATGAAAAGCGAATTGTAGTACTTTTTTAGAGTTTTAGATACAGGTGTCAGATATACAACATACGCCAACATTGTCTTCCCAAAGACATGGCTAAATCTATTTATTGTCCGATTCGCATGACGGCAAGATCGCAGAATTTTAAATGGCACAAATGGTTTTAGAAAAAACTGTTACTAGAACTAGTAAATTAATGGTGACATGACTGCAGACCATTTAAACAGGATAGAATTCTAGGCAACAACAAATAAATTTAGTGCAGAAAGAGGTATACACAAAATTGAATGGAAAGTTTAGTCACTATAAAACAAATTTTCCAATAGCAAAGTAATCGTAAATATTGCTCGGAAGAATAGTAAAGCAGAACAAAAAGAACATTTTATCCATCAATAGCTACCTTCGTATATGTGTGTCGGCTAGGATACTGTCTAAAATCCCTAATCGAATCAGAGGTTTGATTAAATGGGCTACCCCAAGCGTTTGAGCGAAAGGTCCAATCGATAACAAAGTAACGTCACGACATGCAGTCCTATGGTAGCCGATTCTGAATCTAATGCACACCATTGATTTATAATCACGGTTTCAAAAACCCTCTAAACTGACTCTTCTTATTCACCAACCAAGTTTGGGTGCTGGACATCTGCTCTAGTCTCGTCACCTCGAAAAACTAGCACAGAAACACACCAAACAAATGTCAATTGGACCACCTATACCGCAGCTACGATGAAAAGACTGATTGGTGAAATTTCGTAGACAATAAATTAACGCCAAATTGACGCTAATGCTATTTTCCAGAGTGAAAACCAAAGCTTCGCTTAGAGAATGCAACACCATTAGAGATCAAATATGTATGGCTAAACTGAGATTTGTTTAACTACTGGTTTCGACAATCGACGTCAGATTGAGGTATATTAGTTAGAAAAAGAAAGGTTGTACGACATAAATACAGAGAAACAAGAAACTTACAGATTGGCTGAGATAGGAATAACATTGCCACCAATTGTTGAATACAGGTACGACGTTAATACTGTTAAACAAACAAGAAGTAAAATACATCAATATCGCTTAGCATGATAAAAGAAAAACTTACATGGTGGAGGGATAATATTAAGAGACTGTGACCACATTTTGTTTAAAACTGCTATTATGAATACAGAAAATGTAGCAACCTTGAGAAACTCATCACATTTGTGAAAAATAAAGGCTGTTCTGCAAAGAAAACTATTTTCGACGATATCATTTAGTGAAGCTATTCAAACATATATAAGTTAGTAAAATAGAAGAGTGTTAGATCAATTAACAAAACTAAAGTATAAAAAGTGTGACTTAAAACTCGTTTTACGAGTGTATATCCTGAAATCACATCTGCACTTTGTACTAGTAGTAATGAGATAATGCTTATCAAAATACAATCTGAGTAAGAACAGTTCAATGTGTTTTGAGAATATAAAAAATTAACACATATGAATGCATGCAAATGAAGAGATAAACATTCTATAATAAAATATAAATCTGCTATTTTGTGTCTAAAATTTATGTTGGTCTATAATGTCCTCACCAATAAGTTTCCTTTGTCACACTTTCAATAAGAAAAGACTTGAATAATAATGGAGTAACAAGTATCTAACCTTTGGTTAACAAATAATTGATCTTTGATCAACATAATATTGATTGAACAATCGCAACTTTTGACAGTGAGGCAAGATAATTTCATTTTATCATGAAACCATTAACGTTTCATGAACTTTTCTAAAATAATCACTATCTCCAACGGTATATCGTCATCATGTTCATTGAGTAAAGAAATGTGAGTTACCAAACTAATACATTATTGTAAAATAACAATATTTTTTGTAAAAAAATGATTTAACCCGACGAGACAATGAGAATAATTATAAAAGCCAAATTTATTGATAGACTGAAATTTCAGGGTTACTCAGCTTAGTTATGCAATTCCTTCTATAATTTTTTACTAATTACTCCCTCTGGTACATTACCAAACTCTAAAATATATTAAAATAACTGACAAAAAGTGAACCAACGATGATTATCTTGAGTAGCATATAAAACTAAATATCTATTTCTGATGTTATTCTCTAGATATCTTCCATACCTATCATCTACAATTCCTACTAGAGTATCCATCATCCTTTAGATCATCAAGTAATCCACTTTCAATATCTGAAATTCCCGAACACTTTATAATACAAAATAATTCCGTTTTTAGTAAGCCATGATAGTTAGCATATTATGTGGTTATACTTCTTTTTCTACCGTAATATGCTAAAACTATGTTATCCCAAAGTAAATGGGAATAAATAAGTATATGATACACACAAATGATTAAACTATTGAGTACCTTAGAATTTATAGGTTGAACCATTTGTTTAAGAGGTGAGATAAAATAATAAAACAATATCAGTATGGGGGTTGTGGAGATTGTTAAGTTTTTGGTTGAGATCATGAATCAATTGATGTTAGACCACCGTTGGAAACCTGGAAGCACTGGACGGCCGTTTCGTCCTAGTATGGGACTCCTCAGCAGTGCGCATCCACGATCTCGCCCGCGGGATTCGAACCCAGGACCTACTGGCCTCGCGCCTGAGCACTTAACCATTAGACTACTGAGCCGGCATCCAATGGTGTTAGTGTCTAACATCAACCAATCCACGAAATTGCGCGACCAACTTCCATTGTACTGAGGTAGATACCTGTCTCTACCCGACACGGATTAGCTCCACTGGTCACGACTTCTCACTAGAACTCCGAGAATTCCCTCACGAAGCTAGTCACTAGTGAGCACATGTTAATTATCAGCATGGGGGTTGTGGAGATTGTTAAGTTTTTGGTTGAGATCATGAATCAACTGATGCTGAGGAGTCCCATACTAGGACGAAACGGCCGTCCAGTGCTTCCAGGTTTCCAACGGTGGTCTAACATCAATTGATTCATGATCTCAACCAAAAAAATAAAACAATAATTAGAAATTTACATAGCTACAGTTCTACTCATACAGTATAAAGCATAAAGTTTAACTTTAAATCGTAGCGAGATTGTTTCTAAAATTAATAATACATTAATAAAAATGAAACAAATTAGTGTTTTCATATCAAAATGACTTTATTTTCAGAAGTGAAGTGTGGAAGTCAATTTTTGTAAACGATGACTTTGTTATTATTTATCGCATTTTCTATAATGTACAACTAGAAATTGAAAAACCAAGTAGTTATTTGTGATTACTTTTATAAAACTATTATTAGACGATAGAAATATTAGTAATCGAAAAACAGGCTCTTACTACTAGTAAAGTTTAAGCGCTTGAACCAGGATAGTATTGATAAAAACAATCTCATACTGTCTGGGTTTTATTGACTGATAGATTAATACAGAAAGTTATAGACTAAAAATATCACAAACTACATAGATAGTTTCCATGATCACTCGCCCATAAGGATACATAAGATTACGGTAATCAAAGAATATTAGAGTAATATTAGAGCACTGTGGATACAGCTAACTGCTTGATAGTTGATAGAGTACCACAATGAAGCATTTAAAAATAAGAAAAATGCTCTGAAACTAACCAGTGGATTATGCAACCAAAAAACTTGTGAAAATAATTGAGTCAGGGAGACATCCAATAACACAGAAAGAACTTAAATGTTGTAGAAATAGTAAATAAAACTATATGGCAAAAAGATACATATTCATAGACGAAAATTGGATAAAGGAACAGCGTTGTATATATATATATCAGTAGAGATTGGTGGGTAGGTCAAAATATCAATCATAACTAAAAATCACAACAGTTTCATAAATAAAAATACACCACAAACACGCATATATATACTACAGATTGTGTTCTAAAATATGACGTACGTCGAGTCACAAGCAGCCATAACTGTGGAGGTGACTGTGAGTCCATGAGTGGCGCCACTTACAATCATCTGAAAGCAAAAGTTAGAAACACACATGAAAAGCAACTGGAAAAGATTTGCGTGACTATAAATGTCAGCTTATTGTAAGTGTTGTATAAAATCAGGTACATTCTACACAATATGCAAGTTCCTCATCTTGTAATCAAGTAAAAACATTGTTTACTCATTAAAACTATACTCATTTTTCATGTTGAGTAATTTGGCCTATGTGATTTAGTATTCTCTAACGATACACTCACGAAACTGATCTTCAAAGATTTAGATGTAGTGGAAAATTAGTACTGAACTAACCTTATTTTTGTTATGAATCAATCGGTTTAAACATGACTCAACGATTACCAGCCGACGGAAAAATTCATTTTGTCAGCTTTGGTTTGTAGTTAGTCAGCTAATATGTGAAGTTACAATTTGACATACAAACGCAAATTATTTTTAAGAACGGTAATTATATTTATACCCACTATATTATATTAAAAATAACGCTACGCTTGCACACAAAGAAAACGTCAGCCAAACATAAGGTAGAACCCAGTACATGAGCACATCGGTTCAGGTTGTCATACCCCATTAACACTGAAAGATGAAGTTGTCAGGGCGAATCCCAGATTAGTGAATGTAGTAAGTTATAACAGTAATAGAAAAGATCAAGCATCCAGAATATAATCCGATGAGAGAGTATAAGTCAGCGAAATAATTTTAAAAAATCTATCGGGAATTTTTTAATGAATACTGAGGGAGGAACTTTAAAAGTTTTTTTAATTTGTGGAAATAATAAGTGCAACTTTTTACATGCCGAATTGTAAGATAAATAAGAAATCAAATCATTTGCTAGTGCTTTAGAAAATAAATCAGAAAACCAAATCTCGACAAGCAGAAAAAGATTCGAATTTATGATCTATTAGTTAAAACTGAATGTCCAAACAAAGTCTATAGTCTTACTGTATTATCGACTAACTGATGAGGAAAGAAACAACCCATTCAATAGGTATTAGGGTATAAGGGATTACGTATGAAAAGTGATTACACTACCTGGCTACCTAAACAGAAGTTTGAACCTTGGACTTCGTTGTTAGGATCAATCATATGCAAAATAGAATCTAACGTTTTTGCCTTTGTTTAGGCTGGTACACCACAGCAAGATGTCAGAGTAATATAAATAGTGACAGTATTAGTGGTGGTAGGAAAGATTAAAAATATATTATATGATTAGGGAAAATATGAATTCATGGAATAAACTTCTTCCAAAGACTATCAGGGGACTTAGTCTAAGGGAAGAGACAAAGAACGAATTCACTACGAACGATTACCAGACGTTAATGGGAGTTCTTAACCATTGGTTAACATCATGCAAACCCCAACCGCGTAGTCTAAACCTATTTACAAGACTCAAACCAACAGTCAATAGCTTTGTGGGTTGATGCAGTGTCTTTGTTTTCCCATCTCTAGCTTCCTTCCAGCCTACTTCTACACCAGACATTATTACACATCAACGTACGCGGTGATTGTGCATACTTGATACACGTCCCAACAACCTCGGTCGATAAAATACTAATTTCTCGTTAACCGGCTAGCTATTTTTATCTAGTACTCTACGTCAAACCATAGCATCATCAACTCGATGGTACCAACATATGTCATCAATGCATTTATATGTGATTTCACTTTATTTGGTCAACTAAGTTCACATGTATGACTAGTTTTCACAGTGGTTTGTTGTAAAAACGGTTGGCACAAAGTACACAAAAAACAGTCATCATGGTTAGTAATATTCAATAATAATAAAAAGTTAATTTTTGAACTACTAAACAAAATAATGTGTACTCACCTCAGTTACCAAGGGAGTGTGCTTTTTCAGAGGAGGGTCGATACGGTCCATGAAAATATATTTATTGAAAAAATAGGCAAGACAAGCAGTCAACCAAACTGTAATAACTTCTCCAATTAATCTAGGTGTCAAACCACTAGAAAGGAATATCATTTAGATAAAACACACCTGAAGAAACTTAGAAAACCTTCATTTCTCAGTATAGTAGGAAAAGCATTGAAAATACAACTGGAGGGAGACAAACATAAACTAAATTTATTTGTGATTCATACTCATATAATCGTGTCCCATTGATAAATTGCGACATTTGGCGAATCATTATGACTATTTTTTACGATGAAAATACACCTAATATTTGAATACCTTGGAATGGATAACTAACAACTACACCCACTACTCGAGCAACAGTACATTTACTGGTCTAAAAGGGTAAGTTAGTTAAGAATGATATAAATCGAAATTACACTGATCAAAAAAATTTTGATTCCTTTATCAGTTTCAAAAAATGTTTTCTTTTCAAAAAAGTCCGGAGTTAAATACTTTTGCAAATAATAATTGTATATTAAGCATTTTGTACCTCCATAGTGATGTTGGTAGAGTATGACTTAACAAACGACCCAATAATATTAGCAGGAAGTCCAATGGTGAAAATCCCATACAACCCGACCTCTTGGCGAAGTTTACGACCTTTAATTACAATGAGATAATTGTTGGAGAAACTTGCAGTAAGTGAAAACACTTGGGTAGTAATATACTTCATAGTTTGGACGTAGAATGTTACGTAAAGTAAATCGACGAACAGGAGGAAATGGTTCATACCCCAACTTAAAAGTTACATTTGAAAGAATATGACTTACCAACATCATTGTCCTGGCATAAGTCAGGGGATGAGTTATGGCTGGCATGAACGACGGTATCAAAAATTTATAGGTGGTTTCCAAATGATCCATAGTAATTAAGCTATTGAAGGAAAATGCATTAGCAGATGCAATGAAATGAACCAAGAATACAATACAAAAGTTAATCTTAATGACTAAACCTTGCAGATAATATTACTGTTAGATTTCAAATGAAATGTCACTAGGTAATTTTTAATTATTTCTAGAGACGATATAATAATGACTGTAATTACATAAAATGGTATATATACACTGTAGGTCTACTCGTTTACTTATGAATGTCTTGTTACGTTTTTAGTGGTACAAAATTGCCAAATTTATAGCCGTCTTTTTACGTGATTCACATGACACGAACCCTATGAACTGGATGAAAAGTCTTTGCAGTTTAAAGGCCTGGACAACCGGTGTATATAATGTGTCCATCCAAAATGATTAATAAACAGAGCAACTTGGTTAGACTCAAACTTCCAGGGACTATAGTTATTTTTGTGCTAAAACGACTGTGTTCAAAAGGGATCAGTAGGTAATCTACAGCTATCATGATAACTAATGGCGGATAATATTAAGGGCTGAAAAATTAACCATAGACATGTAAGGCAGAATAACTAGTTAGGAAGTATTGAACAAGATGTGTTGTTAAAATGAAGTTCGACTCAATTTCCAAGATAATCAATAAAAATGAAACGAGTTCTAGTCCCGTTTAGTTTGGCTGTACGTCTAATTTATGGGTCCTGATTATTTGAGAGGACCAACCATCCGACGAACCATATTACAATCAGAATTTGATTTTCAGAAGCTGATTAGTTCAAAAACCAGCCCGAATGACTTCAGTTCGTGTTTTGTGGTTGACATTCATGTTGGGAACCAAGAGTTCTGGGTTAAATACACAGTAAACAATTAATTTAACGAAACCTTATGATAAAGAAGAGTACCTACTCTCACGTATCATTAGTGATTTGTGTATGAAACACAATGACGCTAGTCCCTGAGGGCATGAGCTATGACCACAAACTAGTGAGGTATTACTGACATTTTGTGGATAAATTTCCAAGAATAATCAGAGTTTCAAATTTTCGTGCGGGGGAATCTAACGTAGAATTCTCGACTGTTCCAAGGAAACCTAAACAAACTAGGGAACCTTATGCGCATGGGACTTTGACAGAATCATGTTCCGAACTCCCAAAACCAAACAACATAATAATATAAACTCATGTTAGAATATCAAAGTTTTGAAATAATTCTGTTGATACTACTGTTAACAGTAGTATCAACAAAAGTGAGAGACACTAAAATTCTGAGATTCCGAATGTTTTCCCATTAACAATGAAGTAGAAATTAAAAAAGATAGGAAGGTACACCAAAGCTCAACTTCGAGAAATTATAGAGTGGAACCATCTATATCTAAAAAATTAAAACCGATCTCTTAAAATGAGTATAATGAAAGGGTTAAATATCATCTAATCAACATCTAGGAAAATGTAACAATGTAGATCGTCGATATTTCCTAATCTCCTAATCCTAGGAGTTTCGCTAAATTCCAATGACAATTGGCAGTTTTCCCAAAAATTTCCCCAAAATCGGGATATTGGGTGCTTAAGTTTACATATCTGAAGTGACTGAAAACTGTGTTAAGTATTGATTGATGTGCGTTCAAACTATTGATTGGCCACCACGAATAGACCTTAAGGATATTTCTTAGAAGTAACAAATTGCATTGTTTGAAAACAAACCAGATACTTTCAAACCAGTTTCTGACCTTGGTGAGGACGTATCAAATATTGCCGTTGATATTCAATTACCATGTTGGTAGAGAGCGATTATCAAAAGAGTGGGTCATTTGAGCTGTGCTAATCCACAGAGTATTTTTTCCAGACGGTGACACAGTTTCATATTCTAAATGTTTGTCGATTAAATAAATAATATTTGTTCCGACATGGTGTTCTAGTCAGTTTCAGTTTGGAAAGGACAGGAGGCTTGATGGCCAGTGTTAGTCCTGGCAGTGATGGTCTCTCAGGTAATCCAACTTTTTTTTGAAAGAGTCGACGTATGAAAACTGAAGTAATGAATTTCACTCGTTGATGATTCAATGGGAAAGTCGATAGTCAGATGACAAGTAATTCGTTCTGGGCTTGTGAACATTTTGGAGTGCCCTCGCGAATTCTCTGTTTTGGAAGACAAGAAAATTGAGGGCATATCAGGTGCAAGTTTATCGCTAGGTAATTTGAAAACTGTAATCAAGTCGCCTCTAGTTTTTCGATTTGACAACGGGAATAGGTTTAGCTTGGCCAGTCGAGCATCATACGGAAGCCTTGCTATACTAGGAATCAGCCTAGTTGCTGTCCTCTGAACCTTTTCCAAAAGCTCACTGTCTTTTTTTAAGCAGGAACTAGTGGCTTGTATGCAGTACTCAAGTTTAAGACGTATGAACACTGTATACAAAGTCGAATGCGTTTTAGCGTCTGCATGAATAAAGGCCCTACGTATTGACCATATGGTTCTAAAACCTTTGGCGGCTAGTGCACGGCAATGTGCAGTAGTATTTAAGTATTGGCCAACGATAACTCCCAAGTTATTATGTGTCTGGACAACAGGTAGCTCGGTGTTATTCATCGTGTATGTATCTGTGCCTTGATGACCGATATGCATCGCAACACACTTGGAAGTATTTATCGGCAACTGCTAGGTTTGAGACCATTCAGATAATTTCTTCGGGTCATTTTGGAGTTCTAAGCTATCACCCTTACGTCGTATTGTTCTCCATATCTTGGTATAGTCAGCACATAGCAAGACCGATGATGATAGGATTCGAGGAAGGTCATTTACATACAAGAGGAGTGGCACTGACCGCAAAACTGTATCCTGAGGCAATCCACTAGGCATAGTTTTTCAGCTAGACAATTTTGAGTTCACCCGTACTCTTAGGCGTCGACCTACTATAGCTTCTCGATTATAATGCATTTCGAACTTTCTGGTAGTGTGTTGTTTTTCTTGTACTGAGTTCGAATGTCGTGTAATGTTTGTAAGAATGAATTTCCCTCCGATTATTTTAAACGTATGTGGTTGATGGAAAACGACGAAAAATGTATTCGTCAACAATTTGTTTAAATTAGTACTAACATGCAGTGGATGTCGTACAAATCCCCCTAGTAAATTTTTGTACCAGTCGCTATTTTACTGTGAACCGAGCGCAGTCATCTATATTATCGATATATTTATTCTTAAATTTACATGCTTAAATGTTCAAGAAGGAATAGATAATTAAACAGCTTCTCATCCCATGTTTTATAACGAATTGATAACAAAAGTAGTCATTTTTGAGTAGAGAATGAACATATGAAGATTACTTGCACCATTCAGTTATATACACTGTAGCGTTAAATAAATCCCCAAAATTAATAGCTCTGTAAGTTGTCGACATTGGATGCTGACCATATGTTTTAGTAGACTTGTAGAATTATAATGATATTAGTACTGCTCTAATAATAGACCTAATCCTAAATCTGTAGATTTATCATGATATGACTGCCTAGTCTATAAGATCTTACGTGGAAGTCACACCATCGACTGCACCAACTCACTGTATCGTATCAATTACCAATACATGATGTAGAACAAGGTTAGGCTAGAGAAAGAACAATATATTTAATATGAATAGAAGATATAAGGTAACATTCAGCAGAGACCACGCCTGCATGGCCGAGCCATGCCGTTCGATCAACTCTAGTCTATTCAATTCATTATTCGCGCCTTCTCCATCGTTAGGTATTTCTTCGCGTTAAATATTGAATATCTATTTTCTGAGTAATCTCGTATTCAGCTTTGAGGATTGTGTGGTTATGGTCCAATGCCACTACAGACTCATCTAGCTGAAGGCGCCCAGTCATGCATCCGTACCAGATCACGTGTGGTAACGCTATGCTCAACATCTACCGCAATCGCTAGCCAGACTAGATCAGAGAATTCCGATATATTGGTAGTCGCCAAATACACTCTTTCGATCTCCTCGACTTTGTCTTTTGATTTCTCTTGTTGGGTACGAATTATATTAGGTGTTGCTGTTAAAAGTATTGTCAAACACTGAATACCTGTGCCATTTTCAACACATTACTGGGATCTAAAATGAAGAAGTGTCCGGAGGCAATTAATTTGGCTGAAAAGAAGAGGGTGATTGACTAAGTGGATGAAAAACTGAAAAGTGTCATGAAGGAGCAAGGCAGACAGTAAAGATAATTACATGTAGAAAATTGGTCACTGAGGTGCAGTAACTGTTGAGGGTTTCCGAATATGCTTATTTTTCAAAGCCTTCGTATGCTTTAAATCGGATAAATTTGGATTCCATACCTCCGTAGATCACCAGTGCCGATGATCTATGTCGAATGATTGGAGGAAATGGTGTGACGAATCAGCTAACTTCGAAGTCACACCTCGCGGTCAGCATCTAACTTGGATTATCCCTTCAAAGTAATATGACTGCTTTGAAGGCCATATAACACAAAAGATGTTATTATGGAAATATATTGTTAAGAATAAGTACAGAGAAGATATCGAGACCACCACTATATGGGCCGGTCCATGGTATATGACAAAGTGATGCGCGTTGGTTGTCCTTGACCTTGTCGTGGATTGATGATCAGTTTGATTTTCATTTCTACGACCGCCAGATTATTTGGCTAGGGCTCAGCGACGTTTCACTGACGGTACACCTCATTTATATTGGATAATTCCATAAAACATGTATCTGAACAGATAGTTAGTGACTTATTAAAAATAGTGAGATATTTGAGCTTGTTTCACACACAAGAAGTAAGTTAGTGGCTGGTTCATCAAAAATCTCTTATGGCAAGCGATAAAGATGGTAGAATGTCTTTACCTTATTGAACACTAGACGGCAGTTGACCAAATATTAATATTCCGTATCATAAAGAATACTTTGCGTATTAACATATCTTTCTGCCACCCATAGAATTGCTTATCTCCAACATCATCTACGACTGCCAGTAAGTCTCTTTTGCAGTAAATCTGTAATTCAGTTTGAGAGTCACGTCGATTGT